TCGGGGGAGAAGGGGCACCCCGGGGCCGGGCAGAGCCCTGGCCCCGCCGAGCCGCCCCTCTGCCCACCGGCTTTCCATCAGCACTGTGCCCCTCGCAGCGCGGCGCGGCGTGGGCAGACAAAGCCTCACAGGTTTTACAGTCACTTTTTGTTTGTCCTTTCCCTCTGCCGTACAGAGGCGAGACCCTTGCGAGGGCTGTGCTGGGGACGAGGAAAACAGTCTGCGCCTCTCCTGCCCAGGACAAAGCATCCAGAGTCCACGTGGGGTATAATCTTCTCTGCTCACTTGCTATTACTTCTAGATCCAGCGGAAAACTGTGTAACAGTAAGACGAAGGAATATGATTATCCCGGTGTGACAGAAATAGGCTTTCAAGGCCAGGAGGAGAAATGAGTTAGTTAGCCAAAGTATCCGAAACCCGCGGGAAGTGCCTGGACCAGCCCACAGGCCTGTACAGCAGGTTCCCCCAGCCCACCCCTCCATCCCTGCAAAACACAAGCATGAAAAATGTGGCTGCACGTGCAAAAAAAGCCCTGCAAGTGAACAAGAGAAAGGGCCGAGAAATCTGGTCTGGATAAGCCTTCAGGAACCCCGGAGATTACAGTTCAAATAAACACACACCGCATAAAACTAAAGCTAATTTGCAACTTGGTTAAAACCAAGCAAATAGATTTTACTCCTGTTTGTTTTTCCAAATTCGGGAAACCAAAATGCTTTTGTGGGTTGTGCTCAGGAGAGTTTCTAGGGCACTGTTAGGGTGGAATTAGTCCTTGCTTCAAGCATCCACAGGCTCCTCTCCCTTTCTACGGAAACCTTCCTGCCTCTGTTGGCCCCGCTGACCTGCCATCAATCTCCCGCCCGGCTGAAACGCCCTCTTTCTCTCTCTTCCCCTCAGTTATCATTTAATTCAGGACAGAACGTCTGTGCATACTGCTTGTGAAAAAGGCCTGGTACCAAACAAAGCAGCTCTGGGCAGATTATGAGCTGAACCCTGACCCTTCTCCCAGTCTCTTGCTACACACAACCACGGAGAGATGCTGCAAGTTTATTTCTTAACAGTCAGGAGAGTTTGTATGACATCTCATGGGGAAAAAAAGGTACCTTTAAAGAGGATTTTATATTTAGGCTCCTGCCAGGCATTTCTGGTAGCCTGCGCCAGGCTCTCAGCCATTCCTGCTGAACAAGGGCTGGCAGCTGGCAGCCTCTGCCAGGCAGGTACCAGCGCAACCCCGCCACCGCTCCCCATCAGCCCTGAGGCTCTCCGGCATGGACAAGCGGTGGGACATGGCCCTGGGACAAAGCTCCTCCGCTCCACCACTGCAGCGGCTGCGAGAAGCCGGGAAGCGTGGCCAGGCACAGGCTTACATGAGCAGGGAGCAGGGGCTGGGGAGAGGTGGGGGGTCCCTCCCCACCCCTGGGCGCAGGCTGCACATCCTCTGCACACCGTGCCACAGCCACGTTCCCTCCCCGTCACGGAGTGATTCTCCCATTGGCAGCACAGCTGGACTGCCCAACACTTCCGCAAAAAATCATTCCAGCGAGAAGAGCCATTTTCACACCTGGCTGGCCTCCCTCGGCCAGCGTTTCAAATCCATGGAGCCGGTGACCGAGCAGCTGAAAGAGCCGCTCTCTGTCACCATCACAACAGAGTCAGATGGGACTGGCAACATCCATTCCCATCAGAAGTGACTCCTCATCTTCCCCTGTGAATGCCTCCCAGTGACCGTGCCAGCCCTTCCACACGTAACTCAGCACTCCCCACCCTGAATCCTCCGACTCACCAAAGGCTGCTCAGCCGTTGCCTCCTCTGCAGTGTCCCCACGTTACGGCACCAGGCCCAGCTCCTCTCTGTCCACCTTACTCTCCCACTTCAAATTTCTTCCTAAAATTCTCCTCCGCCACCCTGACCAGGCAAACCAACACCGTTCCCTGCCCAGAGCTCTGCTCTGGCTCTGATCACCGGCTGTCTCTTGCTTTGCACCCAAATGTTTGAGTCGGGACCTGCCCCATGTTTCATAAGCAGCATGCCTGAAGATCCTAAACAGATAAAGCAGTTGAGCAAATATGTGTCATTACCTTCAGCAGTGCAACCTTGTCATCTCTGGATCTGTGGGTCCCAGATCCCCAGGCCCCAGTAAAGGCTAAGTGTTGTTTAGTCTTCTAGCAGGTAGGGAAAAGCACCAGCACCATTAAATCACCTCGGACAGTTGCGAGCTCCTCTAGCAACCCTGGGGCAGGG